TTTCTAAATAACTCTACTGACAACTGATGACCTGGTGACTTACCAGTTTTACTTTTAGCAACACCACTTACTACATCTTCAAACAATATTTAACTGTCTAAAAAATCATCAGAGATATTTTATATTAACAGCAGTGTAAATGGTTTGATTATTACAATTTAATAAGTTATCAAAAGAGTTTTTCCATTTATTTAAAACAGTGTTTGTATCTGTACTGTTTTTCCCATCGTCTTGTATCACTTCCATCGGTATAGATTTCTGCCGTTCAATTCCAACGCCGACTTTACCAATCTTTTTCCAGAACTCTCGAGGATCCCGTTGTTGGGTATCTAGAAGTTGTTGAATACTGTGGTACCAAAACTAAGGTTTTGCTTTCTGACTGCTTTTGTCGCACAATTTCCGTTTTTTCTACAAATACTTGGCGTAAATCCTTCTTCCAGCCGCTATGACTATTATGCCACGCACGTTCGGCTTTACATACATCGTTCCAAAGAAGTGTTAAGCTGTCGTTCCACCACGGTTTATTCATACGTCTCCGTTTGTTACTTTTGCCGTCATATATATTAATTTGACGTTAATTTAGCTTTAAACCCATTCCAGTTTGTACAATATAAACGAAAATTTCATATTTACTGTCTAAATTGTATTGGTTTATTTCAGATTTCACCAAGTCAGTTATAAATGCGTTAAATTTGGAAACTGTTTCATTGTCAGACATCCAATCGTTTGGAATCTTACAAATCTAACAGTTCCGTTATCGGTCAATTGATCGGACACGGTTTGTTGAACATCATAACCAGGTGTGACAAATGTCCAGCATAACTAAGAGTGATCCGGTATATGTTTCGGGTCATAAGAGCCTACGGCTGCAATTTCTTCAATTAGTGCTTTTGCTTCAATGACTTTTTTTAATGAAGTTTTGAATAAATGACAGTTTTTCATAAGGTACTATGCAATAGCCAACGAACTATGATCCTCTGGTTGACACAAACGTAAAGTCATTGTTTATAAAATTTCGGCCATTTGAAATACAGCAATTTATGTTGCTGGTAAATTAGAACAAAGTTTAATAAATCCAATAGTATTACAGTGTATTTTTGTCACAAACTTTAAAAGGTTCTCTAAGTTTGAAATTTTCGGCTATTTTGGTAACTTCTTCTGAATACTGGTTCCCGAAATCTTGTTGCAAAAGTTTTTTACACAAGCTAATAACGTTCATTCCAAAAAGTCTAGGAGCATTTTCTTTTTTAATACGGGTATAACTGTCAATAGGATCTTTCACAATTAGAACACCTCTGTTTGGCAAACGTTGCCCCACAATGTCAATATCTACTTCAATATATCCAATATACGGTATACAAGTTCCATTTGCACCTTTTACATGTTTCAGATAAAACGTAATTTCAGTTTGAAGCTCGGTACATCTTCTCAGAAAAAGGTTATACAACGACTGTGTAACTGTTGTGACGACAGTTGAACTAGTATCTACTAAACAGTTAACTTTAAATCCTGCAAAGTAAGCACTTACTGTTGGACATTAACCCACTAAACGATCAGCTTGAATTGAGTCCGTATCAATATAATCTACAATGGGACTCTTCAAGGTAGACGCTACGGGTTTTCCGACTTTTTGGAATTAACAAATGGACAGTCTGCAATCTTATGATCTGGCTTATAACATCCGTAACACAACAGTGTACGTCGTTGTGGCTCGAACCTATTGTATCTACTATTATAATTAGTTGACCGTTGCTTTGAATTTACAATCTTGGTTAATGTTTCATTCTGGACAATACCCAATAACTGAATAAAATTATCGGATTGTTCACTAATGTCGGTTTTATCCTTACTTGTGCAAACATCAGCTGTAGGTTCTTCTTGTACAGTTACGGTTGTTTCACTTTTTATTCTTGCAGTGTATTGTTTATCCTTATATTCTTATTCCTCGGACCACATACTAGCTTCTTCACGTTAATCCAAAAAAAGGCATATGAGGTTGTGAACGAACTATTTGTTTCAGATGTTTTCGAAAGATACTGTCTTGTACATTTTGTGAAAACTGGTCGCATAATGTTTTCTCTTTATTTGGCATCCAAGTAGAGTCTTTATTTGTAATTTTACCCATTAAAGAGTACGAATATCCCCTTAATGATTCATTTGGCTTTTGCACACGATCCAAAAAATTCTTCTGTACTTCGGTAATGTTATCCTGCACACCAAAGGCATCTTGTAAAATTTCTAAAATTAGATCTGGACTTTGTCGTACTAGACATGCTAGATGAGAACAGTATTTCACTTCATCTTTAGCAGAACCTTCAAGCTGTAAATTATAAAATCCGCTCGTTCTTGACGGGTCATTAATTGAATGTAGCACAGTATTAACATCTTTAATCCAATCTTCAACCGGAAATTTGTATCCGGAAAACTTCGGAACCTTTCTATCTTTATGCACATATACAACATACTTTTCATTCGGTGCCTTTTTCACTTCATTTTCACCACTAGATTTCAAAGATATTTCTTTAATTCTATTATGTTATTCATTCACTTGCTTTTGTAAAGACTTACACGTAGGATTACTTGCCATTATGAACTTCCAAAACTATTGAAAATTATAAACAAATTCAAAACTTGCAAAAATACACAATATATAACTCCAACTCAATCTCCACACAAAGTGAATTAATGCATAACTATAATATCGTATGCATAAAACGCATAATCCAGAATGAACAAAATAATTCACACATTTGAACATATATCATCAAGTCTATCAATATCCCAGATATTCCAAAAAAGAGAAAAACACAATTACTACATCGTTCTTCATTAGTTAAATGGTTTCGACACTGTTTAATATCTTCCTTTGTATTCGCTTTTCAATCGTAAACTCGCTGTCACTGGTATAAACTCCAACAATGTTCGGTTAGGTCCGTACATATCCCGATGACACGTCAATTTTCGGCTTCCGCCGTGGATTTCCGGTCTGGTATACACTTCGTCAAAGTTCGATTAACTCCATGGATAGCCCGCTGACACACACATGAACTTCAAAAATGTTCCGCTTCCTCCGTATATACCCCGCTCATGCGTCTGATGGAATGCCAGGAATCATTCCCGTCTGGTTTGTCGACGACGCCATATGAGACCAGGTAGAATAAAGCTATTGATGACTCGAATGCGGAACGTTCAAATACGTTATTAAATATAAGAAAGAAGGGAATGACAGATCTTATACTGCTGGCTACGGCTCATAATGTTGCTTCTGGTCTAACTTATTCCGCATTAACAATAAAGATGAAAATCATAGTATATGTAGTCAAAATAAAAGGTCAAACTAGCCAGTACCAGAAAAAAACAACTATTCAGAAAAGCAGTTTGTCCAATAGCCAGTAGTGAGTAAAAATCAAAGAGCCTACATGGAGTATTTGGATTCACTGAACCATATAATATAACATGTGTTCAATATAGTTAGATCATTATAAGATAAGAGTAACTAGATATAAGTAAAGCGCAAATATATATATTATCAAATAGATAAATTGTACATAAATCAACTTGTCCACATAATTAATTTATGTTGCTAAGAAATTCACAAAACAAGTCGCCGTTACTATTAGGTGTAAAATCTACAACATTACGTTCTGGCAAAAAGTCAATTCCTTGTATATAATCTTTTATATCGGAGACTCGACCATTCCAATCACCGCGTAAATAAAAAGACTACCGTTTGGAATTGTAATTTATGTATACATGTAATTTGGAGGAAAGCCGAACATTTTGTCAAACATGATAACTGCTGTAAGCTTTTGGTTTAGAGGATTCCCGCTCTAATTGTTTTGTTGTTAAAAATCAAATGCAGCAACGTATGAATTTTGATTGGATAAAAATAATCATTGGCCTTGTGTAACAAATCTGCGGCCGCCACAGATTTTTGAATGGTTAAAAATATTCTTTAGTCTTGTGTTGAAAATCTGCGGCCGCCACAGGTTTTGTGATGCTTGAAATAATCTTCGGCTAATGTGTTGAAAATCTGTAGGGTTTGCCGCGATTATCATTAATAAAGAAAGCGAATATTTTTAAAAAGGAAATCTGCGGGAGCTGCAATTTTCATGCCGACGATTAATAATAATCTGCGGGGGCGGGAATTTTAATTTTTTTTTTCCATGTATTTCTTATGGGAAAAATAATAATAATCGGGGGGTTCACTCTGGCATTCCATAGAGACTGACTTCTTACGATACAAATTTTAAGGCATCATTGTACTTTTTGATTAAATTTTTCGTTTCAGCCTATCTTATCCGGTTTTTTTTTTGTATGTTATGTACAACATGCATTTACAGGCAAAATTTCCCAGGGTTTCTCTATCTGTTCATGTTCTTAGTTTACGCGAGATATTTGATGATGATAAGCTAAACTTCTTCGAATTTTTTCTCTCTAATAATTCAGAAATTAGGTTGCAACTTTTAATTTACATACATGTAGCAAATTGTGACGACCTTTGGATTTCAAATAACCAGTATAGATACTTACTTAAAAGAGAAAACTTTATAACAGAATGAAAGAAGGCGTATTAAATTTAAAGAAACTTCATTTTTTGATAGAAACTGAAATAATATATAATATGGATGGTTTTTTTGGGGGGTGAATGTTTTTTTTTTTTTGTGTGCACATTTTAGCTGGAAGTAAGTTTCAAATGCCTGAACCAAGTCAGGAATATGACAGTTGTTTTTCACTCGTTCCGTTGGTTGATAACGTTTGGTTTTGTAAGTTTTTTGTGGATTTACCCTTTTTTGAATTTGCCTTAAATTTCAGTATTTTTATTATACTTTTTTTATTAATAAAATCTTTATCTGATACTTGAATTAGCATTATGCAAAGTACAGTTGATTCACGTATGAAAAATTTTATCATTTGATTTTTTTTTATTATTTACTACCTTAAGTATAATAAGCAAACAAACAGGGTTAATAGTAATAACATAAGAATATGTCACTTACTTTACTGGAATGTTGTTTTCTGAAATAAAGTGAATATTATTATACACAACGTTGAGACAAATCACCTTTGAATTTGTTAAATGGACCGAATAATTGATGTAACAGATGTTACATATTTGCAATACTGGTGCTTCGTAATCTTTCTTTTAATGCAATAACCAAATGCAAATTGGAGGTGACTCATGGTTATATAATTGCTTCTTCTAATAGACATTTTCGAAAACTTATCGATACTGACGCTTACACCTATGTCACAGACACTTATAGCATATTTATGTAATTTACATTTTGGATACTGTACAAAATTTTTATGTTCAATGATTTTTTAATTTATTGGCTCTGTTTAAAAGCTTAAAATTGACCGATCTTTATTTATACTTTGTTAAAAAAAAGGGGGATGTTTTGTGGAAATAAGTAGAATTTTACACAAAAACAGGAACCTGTACAGTCAGGATTCTATTTTGTCAAAAGTAATTCCCCATTACGCCGACTAAATTTTTTAAATCGTGAAAATGGAAGCCATTGTATGTATGACGCACCGTCAATTTAGCTCTTGAAAACCGACACATTTATCAACATGGCATAATTACGATCCTTACATGACAGTTGCAATTTTAAAAGACAAATGTTTCTACCGGCTATAAAGCATCATTTAATGTACTTTTGTCAATTGAAAACTATTGTCTGATTGGTTGTCTGAGGGACTTTTCGAAAGTTAAAAATAAACCACTAAAAAAACTATCAAATTATTTTGTGGTAGAGCAGTCTAAATGTTTGCAGAGGTTGACGACTATTTACCCTAGATAAAACACTCAAAAAAGGATTTTTTTCAGAAATGGATTTTTAAGATCCACTTCTAAAGTTTGTCGTCAAGGACTTTTAGTATGATTTCAAGGTGGTGTTAGAGAACGGTGTGTCCGACTTTTTTTGATACATTTCATGAATAAATAATTACACATGTAATATGCCTACATTTTCACTAAAATGAGTGAACGAAAGTAAAAAAAAAAAGTGGAAAATACGCACCAAGTTTAAACATTTGAAGTAGCACGAAGCTTTTATTTTGATATTCAAACACAACTACTCTGATGTTATGACACATTAGAAAGGTATTTCACTTGACCTATATCTTTCATGCTTTTGTACTGTGAATTTGTTGTTATTATATCAAAATGTAGCCTAAATATATAAAAATAATAAATCTGAAGCGAAATGGTGTATCAAATATTTCTTGCTTTATACGTTTTCAGGACAAACAGTCAACTCAAACACGCTTGATCATAAAAAGGTGTACCCGATTGTCTCTTTTAATATAAGATTATTACCTATTTGTGTGTTATTTTCCCCTAAAAAACTACATGAACTGCAAATTACTACTTTCAAAAGATCAATCAGTATGCTTCGACCATTAGAATAAAACAGTTGAAATATAATAAATTCATCACTTAAAGAATTCCAAAACTAATGAGAGTACTTGGTTTTTCTGGCTCAGATTCCTAGTAAAATCTTATATAAAACCAATTACAGAATAATAAATTTCAAAGAGTCCAAGAGTTTTACAAGGTTATTAATTCCGTATATTTTGACATTTTGATGCGGTCTCTCTATTTTTTTAGTCAGTGTAGGTATCGGTGTTGATATAAGTGTCCGTGTAGATGACTTTTCGAAAATGTCTAATCATGAGTCCTGAATATGTTCACCAATGGCTTATTTAACTCAAACAAAGTTTTTTGTCCATATGACGCCATATTTTTAATTTTATTATTTCAAACGTAGTTTTAGTCCTTCTTGTTTTATTAGTGTAAGTTTAAGATTGAAAAAAACATCCAGTACTCTCAGTGACCAGCTGGGTCGATATCCCTAATGGACCTTGAGACGAGAAACTAGGAATACGTAATTAAAAAAAATATATATATCAGCCCGCCATACAATTGTGGATGCTGTGATTTTAAAAATGGACATAATTAAACTATGAGAACTGTTGTATAGAGCTGATGTGATGAAAAAAGAAATATGTAGATTTGGCCTTCAATAAATGGAAAGGACATTTTTTTTTTATTTTATGATCAGAATTTTGGGAATATTTCATGAGGAGAGTGATATTTTTCACCATCTTTCGGGGTCCGGCAATTTGTGGGAAAACTAATCTCACTTGCCATCCCGGAAATTTAACCAGACATGTATAAATGTTTCAGCTTAGATATGAGCCATCATACTTATTCAAGTTAACGATATGGACTGAGAAACAGAATAAAATGTTACCATTGCCGCCTATGTTTTGCGCATCCTGACCCAAAGTGTAAAGTTTAATTTCAAAAGTGATGGAGTATTTCATGGTTCAATGACCACACATTTAGGATGATAGCTGCTGAAATCAACGTCAGTTACACTCTTTTAGTGCTATTTAATTAAATACAATACAAAATGGTTTCCAGTACATTTGATTTCATCAAATATATACGAATTTTGTGCTTTTAAACAGTGAAGAAGCAGAAAATTGGGCTTGTTATTTGCCGAAATGGAACAGAACAAAAATAATTGTACCACGTTTTAGCAAAACATTTGCAGTTGAAAACAAGAGATTTATACAAAAATTTAGATGCCTCATACCTTTGTCACTATGCATTGTGTGTGAATGGAGACCATATTGTTTTAGAACCTCTGGAAATTAACAACCAGCAAAAATATGTATAGCTTTAATGCCTGTACCAAGTCAGGAATATGACAGTTGTTATCCATTCGTTTGATGTGTTTGAGCTTTTGATTTTGCCATTTGATTAGGGACTTTCCTTTTTGAATTTTCCTCGGAGTTCAGTATTTTTGTGATTTTACTTTTTTCAAAACAATGCACCACACATATTGTGCATGGCACAACATATACTCACTCAATGCTGAATCTAAACTTGTGGTTTGTCATGATTTTAATTGAAGAAATGTAAGTAAACGTACAAGTAGGCCTTGCAAGTTTTACCTCGAATCAATAATTTGAGAAAATACGAGTTTTTAACACAAATAAAAAATGAAAATTGGAGTAAAGTCCACCCTCACACCTCCGAGACACTGAAACAAACATGCAAACATGTTTATTCAAGTTTATAAGCTCAAGGACAGACATTTATGTGTTGTTTTACCAGGTTTTACCATGATTTACAGTACAAGGGGTGTAACTCTTGATGGTTTCATTTCACTGTGTAAGAAAATTGGGACATTCAATCAAATGAAGTAAACATGCTTTAAGAACTAAATGAAAGTGACACATAGAGACAAATAAAAATGAACAAAATACAATATATATTAAAGTAAGACAACAAAACAAAATAAAGAAAAACGGAATGAAAATAATTGCAAATATGACATTAAGTTACAAACTGTAAATGTTGTAATATTCATTTCACTTGGTTTTATTTTATTTTGAATTTTATCTTATTTCGTTGTAAGTCTTTTCGAATGGATGTATATATTGCATTTGGGAGATACGAAATGACGTTTGTGTCAGATACAAGGTTCACTGTCTTGGACCATGATCCCATTTTCATAATTGTTTAAATTAAACAAACTATTTAATATAAAAAATACAACTAACTCAAAACATGCACATAAATTTCTGAAAACGTGTTTTTTTTTTAATAATAAGATATATTAATAAATAAATAAATAAATAAATAAATGCAGTTGTCTCCTGAAAGGCTAAAAAAAGGCAAATTGAGTAACCTTTTAAAACTACAAAATGGCTGTGGAACGAATTCTTTGTGACTTGCATTCTGACATAGTTTCTAACTGATGTTTTTTTTTATATCCACTTTTACACGCTCTCTTGTTTAACAAGAAATTGATAGTCTGCCTTTTGCGAGCCTGTAACCTGTTAAATTTGACTCGTCAATTTTTTTGACACGCACAATCATATATTTCTTGTTTACGTATTTTTTCAGAGCCACTACAGCACGAGATTTTTACCTACAGCACAGCCTACAGCTTTCAAAGTCTTAGCCAATGCAACAGCTTTTTTACTATTCATTTTCAAGACTGCTGCAGATGCACGGCCTATGGCATTGCGTGAAAAAATCTTATTTTTAGGTAAGTACGTAGAAATTGTTCTATTGACGGACTCACACTTGTTTGTATTGCTGAAAAAATGCATATGATGTAAAGCGGTCTGAGAAAGTTTCATTTCTAACATGATTCTATTTAATTTTGTCTGTCTTGGTTGGTCTCAAAGACCTATTTTGTAAACCCTGACTGTTAAGGTTGATATAGATTTGAAGCACCAGCTAGTTTTTTTCCCACTATTACATAGTGTTATGCTCCATCTACATGTATCACCACAATTACAGTTATAACAATTTACCACAGACTTAACAACATGAGGCAAACATTTGGAATTTTTACCAGATTATATTTTACGAATAGTGATTTCATTATACCGTGTGACCATAATTTTAAAACATTGGCAAAAGCTATTTTTATATCATTTGTTTGGGCCTTTGTAGCTCCAGGGAACATATTGACTCTAAATTTAGCTCGGAGTACTTCACCGAACTGACTTTAATTTGTCCCCTGTGTATAGTATCTGCAAGTTTAATTACTGGCCATAAAGGATCAAATATTTCTTGCATTGCTTCTTGTAAACCTTGTACATTTTCGCATCCCCATCAGTAGTACAATAATCCACAAGTAAATCAAATTTGGCAATTTCTTTTTACCCATTTCATACCCCAGATCATTCTCACTCAAAGGATCATACCTATTAGTGTTTGCAGTGCAGTACTTATGATCAGGACATTCAACAGCATAACCTTTACCGCGTAACCATGCACTAACCCAGCATAGTTTGTTTATTAAGTGAAAACCTATGATATCATAATTGTCTGTTTCATTTTCATAGCCAATACCAATTGCTTGTGATGCATTTTGTTCCATTTCATGTCTCCTTTTTATATAAATTCTCTGATAGGTACAATCTATTTGTAATTTTACAGGAATATTTTTGTTTTAACCTAAGGTTTGACCTCTCCTTTTTAA